ATTGAACTTCTAAGTTATATTGAACGGCCAAGACGGTATCTTGAACGAGAGGACCAAATGAACAAATGACTACCTTAAAACATATACTGTGAGAAGGAATTAATTGTCCGTTAGTGAACAGTTATTCAGATAAAAACCCGAGAGCTTTTACATCAAATCTGTGGCTGTTTTTTGAAACATCTTCAAACCATATGTTTAGCGACCGATCAAAATGAGTGTTTTTGTGGCGTCATCTAGCTTGCGATGCACAATAGTGAAAGTTCTTTACTATCCGCTTCTTTTTTACCGGTATTTCGCACCTTCCGTACTACCAGTCAAAAATGGAACATACCCTATCAAGCAGTTCCCTCTGTCGGTCGAATTAAAAAGGTACTTATCCAACGGATTGTTATGAGCTCGATATGACTTTGTTTGTCACCGTTGGGAAACCCATAAAATCTTATCGGTCTTATAACTTTATCCACTACATAGTTATGGAACCAATAAGGGCAAATGTTGAGAAACCGGCCATTAGAGAGACTGCAATGTTGCTCGTCTAACATGTGGTGTTTGTTTGGTCCATTCGAAACATGCGGCCAGTTGATTTAAACCGTTTTGTGTTCGTTATAGCCTGCAAGTCGATTCGAAGACGCATTTCTTGCTCGCCACTAAGAGCTCCACGCTTTGTGCTTCGTCTTGTTGATTATCAGTGTTTGCGTAACTTTTGGTAAATAACTCGCCCCCACATTGACTGCTAATCATCAGTAATTGATACATGATTTCTATTCAATATTGTAGACAATGCTGCCATTTAAATTGCCGCATAATATTACGTTGAAGGAATCCCACTCAGACTTGAATCAAGTAGGTAGTTTCTAGATTTAGACCAATCATCCATCATCATCTTCACGTTGTTAAAGTCACAGTCATCAAAAGAGTTAAACTTTCGCGTCCTTTGTGAGACGCTCTTTAAAGTTTCCATTCGGAGATTGTCGCTAAAGCGAACATTTCAGTCAAGTTCTGTAATCAATGAACTCATCATAATCACCCCGTTTCGCTAAAGTAAACTCTGATCTTCCTCAATGTTAGTTGGAAGGTGTTGAAACAGGCCGATTGTTGTTAATTAATTTGAACACTGATTCGCTGCGTGCTAATTAGAAACAGTGAACGCAAAAGGAAAATGGCAAATTCCCCTTTTTTTGTGTGGATTTTAGTGCGTTTTCGCAACAAAATGCTTAACTTGTGCGCTTTTAGGTGCAGAGCGTGATACAGCCAAATCAGCAATCGGTAATACAGACAGCCGCCAACATCCAGCCATTGATAGGAAAAGGCAACGTTATTCTAGTCGGCAAACCCAACTCCGTCATCCAGACGACGCAAGGGAGTTTGCAAGCTTTAAGGGTGAGTTTCCAGGGGGGGTCATGAAATTTTGGCATAATCTTGCACCAAGTGTGTGATATTCAAATTTCGCTTTTTGGGTCAAAACTATTCGAATTTCCTCACTCACGTTGTTACGACTGGATCGACTTTTCAATTCTCTATCCAACGATGCCAAAACGCATTCTGTGGCTCAAATGGTTCTTGAGAAACTTTGGATTTTGCAACTCAAAAAAAAACCACGCAAATCTCAAACTTCTTGAATTCAAGCATTTTTTGAGAAAACTGCCAACATTTCCTTATCGATGGTTCACTTTCTAAAAAGGCCATTTATTTCTCTCTAGAAT